GTTCGCAATTTGACCGTGTACGAGGGTCTTTCAAGTATTCCCCCACAATGCATTGCTGCAGTGGAGGTATTCTAGTTCCAAATTCCTTCAAATATGCTGATCAAAATATGCTGTGGTCACATTAAAAATATTTCGGTCGATGTCTCAAGGTCACGCGGTGGATTAACCGACATTGACGTCACATTATACACCATTTCCGTCAATTTTTGGTGGCCCACGCAATATTTTACATAATGACTACAGGACCTTGAGATAATGAGGAAAATATTGATGGTGTGACCACGGACCCTGGAATTTAGAATAACGTCACCCAAAAAAACGATGCTGGGGTTGGTCAGTTCAAATGACAAACGTCTGATGACGTTTAAGTCGTCATGGAGCATGGATGAATTTACTAGTTTTTTTCTTCTTTTTCCGAAAACTAGGGATTTTTCCTTGACTAGGTTTGGTACTATGATGGTTCTTCCCTTCGAATTTATAGGTTGGCAACGACTGAATTTTTCATGTGGGGAGGTTGGCAGCCCTTTCAAGCCCTACACGGCCTCCAAATAACGATTTTACTTATGAAAGTCTTCGAACCTATGTGTACTCTGGTTTCACTTCAATGGGTCAAGTAAAGGTTGGCAACAACTACAATTCGGTTTCGAATATTTCGTGGAGAAAAGTTGGCTGCCCTTTCAGGCTCTAAGACCTCCAAGAGCAAACTCAATCGTGATAGGCTCCCAACCTCGGTGCTTTATTTTCACTTCGATGTTTTTTTTTTTCAACGCATTTGATTGGTTTACGGTGATAGCCAACGTGACGTCACAGCTCAAAATGCTCCCGGGCTATGTTTGCACCATGCCGTACGTTATAAATATAGGCACCAGGGGGTGGATCGGGCAGTCCCTGGCCAGGACTCGTTGGTAAAGGTATTATGTGTTGCATGTGTGTTATATGTTTTATATGTGTTATATGTTATTTATTTGTTATATGTTATTTATGTGTTATATGTTTTTTATGTGTTATATGTTTTTTATGTGTTATATGTTTTTTATGTGTTATATGTTATTTATGTGTTATATGTTTTTTATGTGTTATATTTGTTATCTATGTGTTATATGTTTCTACTGATGTGTGTTGTGTATGCGTGTTGCGCATGTATGTTGCGGGTTGCTTGTGTGTGTTGCGTGTTGCTTGTGTGTGATGCGTGTTGCTTGTGTGTGTTGCGTGTTGCTTGTGTGTTACATGTTCCTTGCGTGTTACGTGTTGCTTGTGTGCTATATGTTGCTTTTATATGTTACGTGTTGCTTTTAAACGTTACATGTTGCTCGTGTGTGTTATGTGTTGCTTATCGCATGGTAGTTCTAATTTGTTGTTCTGTTTTATTTTTTGAGGTTTCTTTTCTCTTTGTCTTTTAGCGATTTAACGCACTTCCCGGTGTTGGTTCCTCCTCTTTTTCTACTAACTCTTTTTTTTTTTTGCTTTCTAAAAGACAAAGGGCAAAGAAACCAGTAATTACTTGTAGATTCGCGTTTTAAAGTAGAGTCCCCCAACCCCTCCCGCGTAGTAACATAATTTCAATTATGTTACTTTTTCCTTTTTTTCTTTGTCTTTTGAAGCGTGCCAGTAGGGCTCGCTCTTTTTCTTTGTCTCCCCTCCCCTAACAGAGAGTGGGTCTAGGAATTTTAAATATTCTAACGCCCAGTTTTAGAACAGGGGGCGTACGATACCGTAGCTTTGGTTCGAAGGATGCAGTGGTGCTTGCACTTCGTTCAGTCGGCCGGCGGCCATCGCTTTCCTACGACGGCTGAATCCATAACCAGGACCCGGTATGGTGCAAGTTAGAGGGCGGTAAAAGAAACCCTCGGCCCTTCTGGCAAAAAAAAAAAAAAAAGATGGTCCATTTGTATGGGTGGGAGGATACGTAAAACTCCTTCATCCCTCTCTGTTTTTTCCGTAATTAGTCATGAAGTGGATTGGTAGGCCTACGGGGGAAGCAACCACTATAAAAAAAGAAATAGTGTATTTTCCGAAGAAAATACACTAGCAACGCGCCACTGAACTTACCTCCTGAGAAATTAAGTGTTTATAAAAGTCGGTCTTTCCCTGGTAAAAATAATCCGATGGCTATCGCCAAAACACAGTGATGTCATGAGTTTTGACTAACATAAATTGTGTTTTGGTGATGGCCAACTGATTATCTTAACGAGGGTTTCTCTAAGGTGGTGTGGAAAGAGTTCCATTGATAAGAATCAAGTTTTCTCGTCGGTTTTTCCCAGTTCAAATTGATGAGTTAGCCGTCACCAAAAACAAACATTAATTGAAGTCATGTGTTTTGGTAACGGTTAAATCTTAATTTTGAAAAGGGGTTCTCTAAGGTGGTGTGGAAAGAGTTCTTCTGAGGATAAACCAGGAAATGGCAGGAAGTAATTGTAAGTCGCGAAATAGCTTTCTGAGATATTATGTAACACGTTACTTTCATTGAAGCGAAATAATAATATGGAAAACAGCTTTTTCTAGTTTCACACGCAGATAATTCACTAGTCCTCAGTGTTTCAAAAAAAAAAAAAAAAAAAAAAAAAAACAAGAAATTAGGAAGCACATTGATTGAACGTCTTTATATTAAAAGGGACCATATCCATTCTGACATGGACGTATTTATGCGAAAAGGAGATATGTGGAAGTGAAAAGATGGGGTGTGCTCGTTAGCGGTCGGGCCATAAGAATGCATGGGGAATATAAAGCGCCAGTGACGTCAGCGGTGAGTGCGGTGACGGTTTCGGGATCGCCGTCCGGCGGCTTTAACTCATGAGCCCTGTCCACAACGCTCTCTTGCCGTGCCCGCGGCTCATGAGTTAGCATATTTTGGCGCTTAGCTCCTTTTGATTTAATGTCAAATCCCGCTTTTCAATTTTCTCAAAAGGAGCTATATCCACTTTTACATTGTTTCTTATGACCCAACTAACGAGCACACCCCATCTTTCCACTTGCACATATCTCCTTTTAGCATAAATACGTCCACATAATCACTAAGATCCATAAGAATGCATGCTTGGCAAGGCTTATGTCCCAACGGATGTAGTTTATTTTGAGTCAAATGTGTCCAATTTAGGTTGAAGGTAGATTACTTTCGTTATAGAGCGAAATTGCTCGCTTACAGACAATCAGCAGCGATATACAAATAGAGGGAACGCAATAACAACGATGATACAGCCCGAAATGTGACGAGGACAAAAAGCGCAAAAAATGGGTAACCAAGGCTAAAAATTTGAATTTTATTGATCCTTACTCATTTTCTTTGATTTTTTATCCGTGTGACAGAAGGGGTTAATGTCGTGCTGATCTCCAGACTTACTGGCCAAACGTAAGTCCTGAAAAAACGCGTTTTCACGTCGGTCTCTTTTTCATAAAAAACCGTACTTCGCATCTAATCCGGATCAGGGCGCATGATGGAGACTCAACTCTGCGGTGCTTAATAAAAGGTCTTATCATTATTTGTAATTTTCCGAATTTCAGCTGATAGAGCGAGAATTTCCTAGAAAACTTAAGAATATTTTTCTCTTCTAGGGATTCTCCTTGCTCTTGAACGAAATATACCTACTTGAAATTTTCAAAGAAATGTAAATTATCGTACGTATAAGTTGATCGGATAAAATTGTCTGGAAAGAAATACTTGTCTTGGGGGAATGAGGATACAGAAATCTCATGGCAAAATTCAAATTTATAAACGACCTTCTTTATTAGCGCGGACGCACTGTATGACAGAAATGAATCAGTGAGAACAAAAACACACCAACTCTGTAGCTCGGAAATGCTCAATTTTCATTAAAGATAGTCAATTTTCATAAAGGCATAATCGAGGCATCTATTCCAGCTTGGACCTTTAAAGTGTCCTTAAGTGCTTGTCCTTCGGCACCAAAAAACTTTTTCTTGGACTAACTTCTTCACCTACTATGCAGTTTTGTGTGCGTCTTGATTATTTTCATTTTTCCGAGTTGGTGTGTTTGCGTTCTCACTGATTCAAATTTAGAAATAGAATTTCTGAAGTTTCCACCACTAACGTGTTCCACCACTTTTCGAACCGCCCACGCTACGAATAAAATTGTATGATGACCTCTGGAATAACCTCTTCAATTTTGTAGATTAACCCTCCGACACCTGAGCAGATTCTGGCCTCCGACACAAGATAGGACGTATTTAAGTTGTATTTATTTATTCCTTCGTATAAAACATGAATTTGTTATATGTTAACACGCATCATAATCAAAAGCCCAGACCCACACGCAAAGGGCGTTTTTCCTGGCGTTTTCGTCGTTTTCCCTGACTTTTTAAAATTTCCTGACACGTTTCGTGAAATTCCCTGACAGTTGAAGATATGCAAGATGGTTAAAACGACATAATACGACGTGGTTGTCACGCAAAGCTTGTTGTCCGACACGTCAAACCCATTCTCCAGAGCAGATAAAGCTGACTTGACCTAGAGTCATTTTATACTGAGAGTTAAGACGCCCCCCTCATGGAGTCACAAACGGGAATAAAGATTACATAAATTAGCAGTTTTTCGTAATCTTTGATCGGAACATTCTCAGATTCCGTTCTCCGTCCCTTCTCTAATTCCGTTTGTTCCTCGCCGAACCCATAATTCTTCGGTCCATTCCAGATTATAATCTTTGCAATTGGTGAAAATGGAATCTTCATTCCCGTGTGTGACACTGCGGAGGCCTATAATACGGTAACCAATCAGAAATGGATTCGCATTGTCCTAACTCTCGGTGTAAAGGGACCCTAGTTTCCCCTGACTGCGGCAACTCTGAGGTAACAGAGGCAGGTCCAAGTCTGACGTTGGACGGAAGAGTTCACGGTGAGTCCGCGGATTGCGCAAGGGCACCTGAAGAACGTCGACGAAGAAAGCGAGAGGCATTTGAAGGACGACAACGGAAGAGCAGCGAGGCAGACAAGAGCCGCGCAGTCGCAGTCGGAGAGAGAGAGGAGAAAGTACAAAAATGAGCTGGACTCACCTTGCGATCGTCCATGGTGGATACGCGAAAGTTGTTGATCCTTCGTGGCCGCTGGGCCTCTGCTTGTGGTTCGGGCGGGGGGGCTTGCGGGGGGGAGGAGGGGGCCGCGGGGGCTTCCGACTGGGCCACCGGCGAGTACGAGTAGCGCCAGGCGCGACCCGGCGAAGCTTTGCGTTCCTTCTCGATGGCTTTCTTGAGCAGGGGCAGCATTCTCCTCAGGAAAACCGCCCGAGCGGGCCCGACCAGGCAGCAAACGCAGCAACTATCCACCTCGGCTCACGCATCTTCCTGAAATCATAGAGGAAATTCCTGTCGGAGAAGTTTCGCCATGCGCTTTAATTGAATTGCAATTTCGCAATCGGGAACTACAATTTCTGGCGCATTCGTAAAAACACGTATGCGCTAGGGGAACCAATGGTGCATGCGTTTTTGCTAGATTGCGCCCGAAATTAACTGTGGTTCCAAATTGCAAAATGCAGTCCAATAGACCACTGGACAAGGTACAAATTTAAGCATTCTGGTACAGTGGTACATGTTTCTTAAATAGTTAAGATATTAACGTAGGGCCGGATTTAGGGGGTGGCCCCATGAGCTGCGGCCCATGCCATGGCGGCAAATGCTGTAATTTTTTCAAATGTATGTATAGCAAGAAAAAATCTGATTCAGAAAAAAAATTACGAACAAGAAAAGGCGGAAAAATCTCTCATTTCCTGCGGCTTGAAGTGTAGTAATTTCTAATTTGTTCGTCTTTCGGTGATACACGAGACAGCGCCTTTCATTAGTCTCGTTGAGAGAGAAACCAAACACGCGATTTGGCCTGGAGCGGCGCGGCGCAAAGAGCAATGATGACGAGGACTTGCGATGGAAAGGAGAAGCCCTCGGTGCGCCAGTCAGCATGAAACACACATAAGCGCCTACAAGACTCCATGGATACTTCACGCATTGCGTCAAAAACAGTGCGGTCAGTCGCGGTCGGCGAGAAATGCATAGCGCCTGCAAGACTGCATGAATACTTCACGCATTGCGCCAAACACAGTGCGGTTGGTGCGGTGGCGGAAATTAAAATCATTAAAGCACATTCATGTTTATTCTTTCATAATTTTTTCGTTATTTTCTTATACATGAAAGGCCTCGTCAACACAGAAATAGGTTTATGGACCTTAATTCTTGCGCCAAGTTCCGTGAACTTTTGCTAGTGTTGACAGGGCTTTCACAAAAAATGTGTCCAACACGAGTAAACGCGTCTTATGCACCCCTCTTCCTCCGGCACGTTCGCGTGATGGTTTGTATCGACGTTTCAAAACGAATGAGAAGGGGCGGCAAATTACAGGCGGCCCATGGGCAGCAAGTAGGTAAATCCGGCCCTGTATTAACGTTTTAATTTTGAATTGCCCGGCTTAACCGTATCAAAATACTAAAAAAAAAAACGTTTCGAAGTGAGGCAAGCAAATGTGAACCAGAAAAATCCAAAAAAATGTTTGAGCATATAAAAACTAAATTGACTTGGGCGTAGCTTCCATAAGTTAGAAACTGAAAACTTCTGTTATGCTCTGATACATACATGTGTGCGCGCGTCATTCCAGTGTTTATTGACGCTAGCACGCGCAGTCTGTTTGAGCTTCGGTATTACGATTTTACGTTGGGTATACCGCCGAACGATGGCGCCAAACTTTCATTGAGACTTTCATTCAATGCGACATTCACAATCTCAAGAGTATCATGTCTCCATATCGTGAGTTGTAAGGCGGGGATGTTTCTTTGCCACATGTCTGACAAATGTGCATAAAATTACCCCGCACATGCTTGAATGTTTGCCATTCTTTGAGTGATATGTCTCCAACACGTTGCCATTACCTCGAAAAAGTCTACGAATTTCAGACAGAATTTTATGGGAACTGGACAATATTTCTCCGTCAACTGGCCTACATTTTGCAAATAGGAACTACTATTTCCGGTTCATTCGTAAAAACACATGGTTTATAGGGAAACGAATATTACATACGTTGTTTTTAAACTGACAAGGAGCCTGAAATTGCAATTCCTAATTGCAAAATGTAGTCCAACTGGCAACTGCGATCCGCGCTCACCGTGAGAACCTGCCGGCTCACTTTCTCTGATCCTCACCCACTCCACAAAGCACCGCGCAAGCACAACGATATAGTTGTCATATTTGCTATAAAAATAACGAATTATTCAGTAGCACTTAGGAGATGCATTCGACTGAAAATGCTTTACACATGTAAAATCGGAAACAGAAATCACGTTCAGCACGTTAGGGATGAGGGATGTCTAGACCACATACTCACTAGGTAGTAAATCGTGACAATTTGGAAATACTGCTTTTTTATCAATTTAAATACATGAAAAATATCGAACCTGGCCTTTGCACCCGGGATCGATTATTTTACGTACATTTAAATGGAGAAAAACAGCGTTGCCACATTTATCCACCAAAGCTGCCACTTTTTTCTCAGTCGCCCGTAATTAGGTTTTCCTTAGAAGAGATATAAGGTATCTTAATACTTACATAGAGAGTGAGCAAAAAGTCTAGTACCACCCCTGAAATCTTCGAAGGTTTTTGCCTCTTTATAGGGTTCCTTTACAATTTTGGAGGTTTTCTTTGACTTACGAGCACTCACACAATTTCAAGGCTCTACCTCAATTTCTTCTTAAGTTATAAGGGTGGGACCTATGGATCACCCTGTATACAAGTGATGTCGGAGACCGTTGTCAATATTTCTCACATAGGATTTCAATCGATTTATAGAATTTGGATTTTGCCTTCCCTAGCCTTGAAGTAAATATAGCAGAGAGCAAATTTTGTAAAATACTTCAAATCCTGAATGAGAGAGATAAATAACATTGTGCTAGATTGTTAGTTTATTGAGGTGTGGTTTCCATTAATCAACCCCCCCCCCCTCTTTATAACACTCTGTAGGCAAACATGGTAAATGGCGACTGACTGAAGGCTCTTTTTCGCGGTCAAACTATATTAGGATTATTGAAATGATTATTGAAATTGATAGACAAATCTGTAGACAAAGAAGACATTGGGAACATAAAGCGATCCTATTGATGTGGTTCCTATAGACTAAGAGAGAAAATGATAGACTAATTAGGGTCTCTTGTGGGTTGCCATTAGTTAGTCTATGACGTACTTCTTTTGTCCATTGCTTCCGCCGATAGGATTCCTCCATATTCCTTTTGTCTTCTGTGTCTAGAGCATTGCCTTTGAATTTCAATAATCGGCCTACTGAGGGCTTCAAAAGGACTGTGTCCTTAAGAAGTATAACAGACGAACGCCAACCGCGAGGTACCCTATGGTTAGTCCATAACTTCCCCCTTGCTTAGTCTATAACAACCACTCGTTGCAAACATAAGAATAGCTCCGTTCCCCGTCATCTTCTTTGTCTATCGCTTTGTCTATAAATTTCAAGGATCAGCCGGCTATTCTGCCATCTTCTAAGGAAGACCGCCGTATGAGCCTTCACCACCTTCATGTGCCAAGTTTCTTCCTATAAAAACCGAATTTACTGGGAAAATTGTAAACATTATTTCCCAAAATTTTCAAACAATTTTGTGGGCAATTCAATCTAAAATATCTGAAAATTGCAAGGAAAAATATGCATGAATGTTGTCAAAAATACATGTTTCATCAAGGGGAATTTGGCAACCCTCGAATGTTCATACGGCGTTTTCCCTTAGCACGGCAGTATTGTGCTCGACATGAATTTTGTGCGATTTTACCCGTTCAGAGGAAGCGTTGCCAGTTGGGTGTACCTCCTCCGTGCGATGTGCCCATTCCGAGAGACTTTAGCGATGGAGCGCTGTGCGATTCGGCAACACGGGACGAAAAAAACCACTGGCGCTTGGATTACGGCACCGGTTACTAAACCCGCGCGGCACGGACACGGAGTACGGACACGGGAGTCGCAGTGGTAATTACAATTACACCGCCTCGTCTCGGGAGATGGACGTCTCCATGCTGCACCGGGGCCGGGGCCGGGACTGAATGACGGATTTTCGTCTCACCGGGTCACCGGGGAACCCACGGGTCGCTGCCCCCTCCCGAGGAATCTATGCCCCGATGGCCCCCCACCGAGATGACCGAGACTTCGAATACGTAAACTAGGAGAAAAAAAACCAACAATAGACAGAAAATACCAATACTGGCCTCTGCCCGCTCCCGAGGCGCTTCGCGAGCCCCCCTAGAATGATGGTGGGTTGACGTTTCCGCACAAAATTTCCGATTTTGACATTTCCACACGAGAACCTGGATTGGCATTTCCACACGAGAACCTGGATTGGCATTTCCACACAAAATCCTGGATTGGCATTTCCACACAAAATCCTGGATTGAAATTTCCACACAAAAACCAGGACTGACACATCCGCACAAAAACCTGGAATGACATTTCCGCACGAAAACCTGGATTGGCATTTCCACACAAAAACCAGGATTGGCATTTCCACCCAAAAACCAGGACTGGCATATCCGCACAAAAACCTGCAATGACATTTCCGCACGAAAACCTGGATTGGCATTTCCACACAAAAACCAGGACTGACATATCCGCACAAAAACCTGGATTGACATTTCGGCACAAACTCAGTCAGCAAAATGCTATTTGTGGCATGATTTGGCAACACTGCGGAGGTATTTGAATCGGGTTCCTTTTAATCCACATGCAAAATATTTAGAGGAATTATGGGGAAATATTTTACGAACCTACTGTTCATCGAGGATCGCTAAACTTTTGTGTAAAAGATACCTACCACATAGCAATGTTAGCTGCTCATCTTTTGGTGGCAAGAAAAAAGTTACCAGATGGATGCGGTAGGGAAATATTTTGTGCGGAAACGTCAATCACGATTTCTGTGTGGGGATGTCAAAAATCCCAGACTTTATGCGGAAAATGCGTGCCGCCAAAATAATTAGACGTATTCTGCTGAGCAGAACCAGAGACAGGTTTGAAAAACCCACCCGTTTTAACCATTAGGACTCCTCTGTAATCCCTTTGTTTTCATTGTCTATAGCTTTGTCCACCAATTTCGATAATTAGCCCGCTGGACTCTCAAGATTAAACGGCAGACCAAGAAAAACGTAAAATATATTTTAAGTTCATGACTGCGCACGCGCAGGTTCCGGTCACAACTCGCGAGGCACTTTCCAAAAAATCAGCCTGACCTGAGAAATTTAGGGCCGGACTGCTAAATTTTGAAGATTCGACGGATGCAAGATGCACAATCAACATTTACCTCCTCGGAAGTTAGATTTCTGGTTTTGTATGCCAAGTTTTCGAGGCGCGGCTCAGTTTGAAAGAATGCCAAAATATCTGAGAGACTGTCACTCAAAACCAAAATTTATCTCCGCTTCTTCTGCTAATTGCTCCATCGTCTTCCGTTTAATGACGTGTAGACCATTAAAAGAGAGAATTGCAACACTTTTCGATGTTGAAACGACGGAAAATAGATCTCAACTGCCACGATTCAAAATTTGCGCTTTTCCCCCATTTTTCCTTGACTTTTCCAGGTCACCTTAAATTCCCTGATTTTCTAGACCAACAGAAACCCTGCCAACAGAGCTTGAATTGAATTGCACATATGAAACTAAGGGAGTCAAAAAATGTAAATGATCTTTGTTATTGCACAATCTCATTAAAGAGGATAGGCCATGGCCAAGTCCTCCTTTGAAACGGTAAAACCGAAGAGAAAACAGAACAAAGAAATTGCAAAATCGCGTTTACATACGCTTTTTTACTAGAAAGAGAGGACTGCTCAGAGACACCCTAACTTGGAAAAACAGCGCCACTTGCCGGAAAATAAGCAAGTAAAGTAAAACTTTGAACTTGCAGAGAATGATTTATCAACCAATACAGGTCGAGTGGTTAGGTGGTCGGTAGTTGTAATAAAATATTCGGATTAAAATTCAGCTCGGTCATACTTACGCTTCTTGCAAAGGATTACTCTCTCGAAGTTTAAGAAACTTTTAATCTGAGAAAATATGAGCTGCCGAATCGAAAGAAGCGTTGGTATACAAAATCGTAAATCGACGGTGAAACTACCAAACCACGTATCTCGTTTGCGGTGTTTAAAAATCTACGCTCACATTTTATTTCTTTGAAGTAGACCAAATCAATATCATTCCTTGAAATTTTCACGGAATTTTCTCCGCACAAAGAGGAAAAATCACAGAAATTTTCAAGACTGGATGTTAAGTAGTTTTTCATTTAAAAAATAAAGTATGACAGGAAGTCTGCGACGTCGCAAACCGAGATACGTGGTTTGGTAGTTTCACCGTCGAAATATAGCATCCGTGGAAAAGTTTAGGACTTGTGAGCATAGTTGGTCGAAATCATAGATGTGTTTATTTTTATAAATATCTGAGCGCATTTCCTAAATAGTTTTGCTTTTTCTTTCCTCATTCTTTTATTAGTTTCAGAGATGAGAATCTGGCGCTGAAGTTTCAGAGTTGCTCATCTCATTTCTGCGATTCGGAAGGATGATTTAAGACTGTTTCATTAACGAAAAATTATTATGATAAACTCATGCGAAAAGCTTCACGACCTGAAAGCATGTGACAAGAAACGACGCTTCATGTCAACATAAACAATAAATTAATAATAACATGAATCATTATATCATAATAACTTTTTTATCAGGCATCCGAAAATCAAGTCATCAATTTAATATATTTAAGTGCTGTTTTATTAGTACAGCACTTAAATATTCCCTGGTAAAAATTGGCAGTAGAATCTGTGTTCCAAAATACCATAGACCTACGGCCGGCTGTAAGATTTCCAATAGCTTCTATAGCCGGCTACACAATTTCTTATAGCCTTTTATAGCCGATGGCGATTAAGCAACTCACAGCCAGGCGATAAAAAGTATGCTAAACGCTACTAATTACGGATGCTAGGACTTAGTTAGTTTTTGGACCACTGCTTTCTTTTTGGGCCGTAGTATCTTGATTTATTTTGCGAGGAAAGCTCCGTATTTTTGATGGTTGCCTGCCATTCCTAATATATTAGAGCGCCTTCAGTTTCGTATGATACTGTGCAATACCTCTGGTGTGAAATAATTGCTTCAGGCGCCGTGGCACGCTGCGGTGCGACAGGCGGGCAGCCAGCGCGTAACGCACATTGGCGCCTACAAACCTAACAGGGATACTTCACGCGTTGCGCAATGCGTGTAGTATCCCTGTTAGGTTTGTAGGCGCCAGTGCGTCGCCGCTCCGCTTTTTGTTAGGTTCTAATATTTAATCTGGCGGAGTCGGCGTTATTCAACTCATGATTTTCAAATGTTTGCACATCCTGTATGAATTATTTTCGTTTTAATTGATGAAAAAAAAATATGTATTAAAGGAAAATATAACGTGTGTTTTGTAAATATTAAGGTGGCTCCGTATCAAACTTAATGATTTCCAAAGCACACGAATTTCTACACAATTTCTTATAGCCTTTAATAATCGATGGCGAAAAAGCAACAGCCAGGCGATAAAGTGTAAAGCCCGGCTATAGGAACTATAGCTCGGCTGCATAATTTTTTATCGCTCCGTATAGCCCGGCCATATGATTTTCTCCGCATTCTACAGCCAGCTATATGATTTTCTGTAGCCTTCTTTAGGCGGCTATAAGAATTCCTATGGTATTTTGAAACGCAGCTCTTACATCGCCAATTTTTACCAGGGTTATTATATCTCTTCTTGTCTATTGCTAATGATTACTATATATATTATTCTATCTCTATTTCTCTATTGCTAATGATAAAACAGTGCTAGTTTTACTACAGAACAAATAACATTTTTTTTTATGATTTTCCGTTTTTAGCTATTTTATCAATTTTAGTATTTTGTCGTGTGTATAATATTTTTCATTTAACATTTGAGTCTTTGTTTTAACGATATGATTTAGATAATCAAGTTATGGTGTCTTTTTGGACAATTTTACCTTCAGTTCAAGAAAATTAAAGTATCTCAAGAAAGTTTTGTTTCAGTGATATTTGTTTACCTTCGAGCTGTCAACGTGCGAGTTCAGAACGAAGATACCGACGTGAAATACTTCTGTGTTGGATCCCCTTTAAAATGCTGACTAGACCTCGAAAAACTGAATAATTAAATCGGGAAAATCAAGAATTGATGATCCGTGAAAACGCGACTATATAATTCCAGGTTCCGGGAACGCGGAAAGAGGTTAATTTTTGGAGCGAAGCGCGCGAGGAGGTACCCTTGAGATCAATTGAGCGGGAAATGAATCCATGCACACTCTTCCGAAATGCAGGTGAAGCGTTTCCAATAACCGGGTGTGGATCTACTTGCGCCGTCAATTGTTATGATTAAATTAAAACGCTTCGTTGATTTCCATTAATTATTCTTTCCAAGGACTTATCCATATTGCGCTGAGTTGTGCGATGCAACGAGGGAAGGTTCTTTCACATTAACTTATGCTTCGAATGCACACTGCTTTATACTGCCGTGCTAAGGAAAAACGCCGTATGAACATTCGAGAGTTGCCAAATTTCTTTCGATAAAATGTTCATTTTTGAGGAAAGCTAGGGATATTTTTCCTTGCAATTTGCAGGAACTTCAGGTGAAATTGCGAGCAAAATTACCTGAAAAATTGGAAGAAAAATATTTACAAATGCAGATGTTGCACGTGTGAGGAATTTGCGATTTGACTATCGATTCTTATGTAACAGTTTGCGAGAAACACGATGGCGCCACTGGTTTTCTCTGAAATCAAATCCCAAGCTCAAAAAAAGCTCTCAAGTTGAGGCCAAAATGGAGGGGATATCCCACGCTATCCTGAGAGTCTACCTCTTCATCAAGGCAAACTCTCCGTGCAAAGATAGGGATGCAAATACATTGACAGGGCTGCCACTTTATTTGGGGACCCAAAGACTGAAAACACGAAAACCCTGCTAATGTACTTGCTCCCTATCTTCACATGGAGAGTTTGTCTTGATGTAGAGGTGGACTCTCAGGATAGCGTGGGATATCCCCTCCATTTTGGCCTCAACTTGAGAGCTTTTTTTGAGCTTGGGAGTTGATTTCAAAGAAAACCAGTGGCACCATCGTGTTTCTCGCGAACTTTTACATAGGAATCAATAGTCAAATCGCAAATTCCTCACACATGCAACAACTCCATTTTCCCGGAAATTCGTGATTTTCTAAAGGAAAGTTGGCAACGCCTGGAGGCTCATACGGCGCTGCTCCTTAGCACGGCAGCACAGGTCGAGAGTTCCGGGTGCTGGAGCTGTGCTGTAGTTCCGGCAGCTTCGGGCACTACGCCCGGAACGCAGACGGTATCTCTATACAGCCCGTACACTGAAATAAAAACACCGGCCTCGGAAACCGTACTTACGGGCTTTATGGACATGCATACCGTCCGCATTCCAGGCTCACAGGCCGAAACTTTCGGACGCTGCACCCGGAGTAGTCGAAGCCATGGCTCCTGCACCCGGAACTTTCGGCCTCTGAGCCCGTGACTTTTTCAGTGTACGTACGGGTTCCACAGTCTGCGGTTATTTTTCAGTGTAGATGTAGATACACTGCAGAGGTAACCTACGTGAAATTAGCCAAAAAAACTTACATTTTGTGCAGCGAAATCTGAAATTTCGGAATCACGAAGAGGAGGAAAACGAAAGAAAAGAAAACGGAGGAGAAAGGAGAGCGAGCACAGCCTGAGAAACGGATCAAAAGCACCGTGAACGCGAAGTGATGCGGTAAAATAATATAAGAAAAAGGCGGGTTGGCTTGGTGGGAACGTAAAGGTTAGGAGATAAAGATAAGATGGCTCGCGAGCGATTCTTGGCGAAACACCGCCGACACGCGCTGCACGATCGCAACTCAATCACGGATACGTTGAGGCCGCCTCGAAATTAAAAATAAGGAGTATTTACTCAACTGTGATTGCGGCGAGCCATGAAAATTACGGTGACGCAGATGTCGCTCATTGCCCGGAATATGCCTCCATACTCGACCAACAGAAGTCAACTAGGTATGCGGATGTTCTTTTTTTTTTTTCAAAAAAAATAAATTTGGCAATGTAATTATGTAGACTAGTGGCATTGGCTATTAAAAAAGTTGGGAGAATCTTAAATTAAAAAGAAAAAATCTTCAAAACTGCGACCTTTTTAGTTAAATTGATAAACAAAGCAATGAACAAAGAAGAGGAAGGGGTCGTTCCAGTATTGCGTAACGCACTTTTTTCGATTTTTTTTACCCCTCTCCCCCTTCGCAACGCACCCCCAACGCAGCCCTGAACTCCCCTTTTGAGTTAAGTAACGCTGACTTGAGCCCCCTCCCCCCCCCTCATTTGCGAAAAATCTTAAAAAAATTTCAATTTTGTGCACGTGCTTTTTTTTCAGAGTTTGTTCTCTCTATCTCGGCTTAGATTCGTTACGTAACGCTGGGCTTGATCCCCTCCCCCTCCATCCTTATAACGTAACGTAACACCGGCTCAATAGTCCCTTCTCCCTAAGTGCGTTACCAGGGTTGCCACAGAATTTTGAAAATGAAATTCTCTGACATTTCCCTGATTTCCCCGACAAATTTTGGTGAAATTCCCTGACAATTGGATATTTGACGGATGATTAAGAGGGCATCATTGGAAATAGTTTTCAGGCAAAATTTCTTGTTCAAAGTCTCAACCCCAATCTAGAAGGCAAATGAAGGTGATTTAACTTTTCCCTGATATTTTCCGGTTTTCATCGATTATGGCAACCCTGCCTTACGTAATACTTGAACGGCCCCGAAAGGAAAATGGAGCGATCCCATTGGTTGGAATGCGTGGTTCTTACAGATGGGAGGGGGGGGGTGTGTGTGTGATGGGCTGACAATTTGATCCCACGTGGGTTGCCGTTACTTAGGTCTATTACTTACCACTTCTCTCCATTGCAACCTCTAGCTTCCACCGCTAGGGTAGACTCATTTTCATTTTGTCATCTTTGTCCATCGCTTTGTCTATCAATGACAATAATCAGCCTATCGAGTTAGGAGACCCTAATTTCAGGCTATGTGAAAACCGCAGCTAGGCGCAGTATTTTGATTACGCACTATGACACAAAACAACGTAGCATTTCATTCACAAGCACAGTAATTTACAGATGTCAACAAACGAAAACCGAGCACGGAAATGGGTTCCAAACCTCCACTACAAAATCGGTAGAGTGTCAATCAAATCGTCTAGATAATCGGAAAAAGTATAATAAACTCAAATCGAAAACTTGCAACTAAAATCGCAATTAGCCGATAAAGAAAATCAGTTTTAAGTACTCACGACTCACAGACACTGATGCGAATATCACGTATAAAAAAAACAAAAAGACAGCTGTAAACAATGAAAAATTCTGATTCTATCGCTAGTCCCATTTTTTTCTCACATAATTCAAAGTACTTAACGACACTTATCAAATCGAAAACTTGCGACTAAAATCGCAATTAGCCGATAAAAAAATCAGTTTTAAGTACTCACGACTCACGAACACTGATGCGAGTATCGCGCATGAAAAAAGACGAAAAGACGGCTGTAAACAAAGTGATAACAGCGGGATGATCGCTTGATCCTGAAAAATTCTGATTCTATCGCTAGTCTAATTTTTTTTCACATAATTCGAAGTCCTTGACGACACTTACATGGGAGCGATAAGAAGAGCCGTTGTTAAAAAAATGTGAAAAAGGGAAGGTTACGCCCGAAGCCGAGGTGTCATATGCGACTATTCGCGCGGCGAGAAGCGGAGCCGGTGCGGGTGCATGCCTCTAAATTTAATTGGCTCATTTTGACTATGAGTCTGCCTAGCGCCGGAAAACTGACACATTGACGCAGAGCCGCGGATCTTGGATTTTAGTTGGGTGAAGTCGGGGAACCTTGCGCCCGAGCGTGAATGAGCGTCTGTTTGTCTCCATCTCCCGGGCCCGGGCTCATAAAAATAACGTGCGACCATTACTGCCGCGCCAAGGAAAAACGCCGTATGAGCCTTCAGGCGCTGCCAAATTTCCCCTCGCAAATCACTAATTTTCAACAAAATTTTTGAATGTTTGTCTGCCGGTTTCTCAGATGATTTTGTTTGTAATTTGATCTATAACGTCTGAAAATTTCAAGGAAAAATATTCATAATTTTCCTCAAGAATAAGCATTTTATCAAAGGAAATGGGGCAACTTTCGAATGTTCATACGGCGTTCTTCCTTAGCTTGGCAGTACGGGAATCGCACTCGCGCCAACCACCAACGACAAAACGTCGAGCAAACTACGTATTCTGCCGTGCTAAGCAAAAACGCCGTATGAACATTCGAGAGTTGCCAAACTGCCTTCGATAGAATGTTTATTTTTAAGAAAAATTATTATGAATATTATTCCTTGAAACTTTCCGATATTTTAGATTAAATTGGGAATAACATTGTCTGAAAAATTGGAAGAGAAAAATTCAGTATTTTTTCAGTAAATTTGTTGGTTATTAAAGGAAATATGGCAACGCCTGAAGGCTCATACGGCGGTTTTCCTTCAACTTCAGGTGAAATGGCGATTAAAATTATCTGACAAATTGAAAGGAAAATATTCATGAGTTTACCAGGAAATTAGTGTTTTAGGAAAGGGAATTTGGCAACGTCTGAAGCTTCATACGGCGTTTTTTCTTAGCACGGCGGTATTGTCGGAAGCGCCGCCGGGGATCAGAGGAGATACATGGTGTCCCATGATTAAACGGCCAAGATTCCAGAACATTTTCAACGAGTAAAGATAAGACGTTTTGTCCAAAAGTGCCGTCCGGATGAGCTACCCCCCCCCCCCCCCCCCCCAATTTTCCGGAAAGTCGTCGTTTTTTCCGAAAAATAATTTCGCCGATGCGTCACACGTGGATCAAGTCGATGGGAGAGGTCGGACAAAATTTGGAAACTTTAAACGCTTTTAACTCCCTTGTAAAAAAAAAGTAAAAAAAAAAAAAAAAAAAAAAAAAAAAAAAAAACTTAAAGGTTTTAAAAGTGGTTCCATTGGTTTCCCGTGAAATTCTCTCCTAGAAGCACATCTTAAGATTTAAAATGCGACAAAATAAAAATAAAAATTTGCAGCTTCAGCCAAAAATTTCAAGTCCAACATTTCTGATTGACTCGATTCACTGTACGTCGGCAAAATGGTCTAGTCCTGGACAGGGCAGCTTTTTCGTTCCGTTCGTGGAAAGTACTATCGAGCGGGAGATAAATGGCATTAACAGAAAAAAAGTCAATCCTAGGTGAAAATATGCATGACAATTTTTCCAGAGCTTATGCTATTAAAATGCATAACAGCCTGATATTCCTCGATCGATCAAGTACGGCATTTTTTCGTAAAAGAATCGAGACGGAAATTATTTTCCTACATCGATGATCCGTTATTCGGGTGCCACGACTAACGACAACTATCGAGAATTTCTGAAAAGGTAAGAAAAGCGAGAGTGCCTTCAAGTTTTGAGCATGCAACACGCACAAATAGTGGAACACGAATAGTTGAATGACAGCGCAACAACCAACTCGATGTAGTATTTGTCCACAACTGACAAGACCCGTGCATCCTTGAAGAAGTGAGACAAGTGGGAGCGCCTTCAATTTTGGAACACGCAATACGCACACCCGTGGAACACGAATAGTTGCATGAAGGCGCAACAGTCAACTCAGTCCAGCCTTTGAGAAGCGGGGCCGACGCGACATCAATCTTTGAATACGCAACGCGCGCATTCAAGATACTGAAAGTGTTAGCAACGTTTTAAAGAATCTCGCTTGGAGGACAAGTAGTAAAGGACAAGGAGTAAAGTGCAGTTTCTGAAAAATTGAGATATTAATAATTTCAACTATGAATAGTTTTAAAACATATTCTGTGAAAAATTCACTGCTCAAGTCAAATGTTTAAACATCAAATAGTGAGTTTTGAACTCGCTTTTCGCCACGAGACTCCATGCAACTTAAATCTTCGAACACGAATTTCTTGAGACAGCAAAAACTCCAATTATCCCACTTATCCCCAAGCCCCTTACATATGCTCCTAAAAACTGTCATTTTTCTGATAATTTGTCGTAGGCTTCCTAAAACCTCTCCTGCGGGCTGATTGTTGAAATTAATAGTCAAAGCAATAGACAAAGAAGACAAAAAGGATCTGGAGGGATCCTATTGGTGGAAGCAGGTGGTTCCAATGGACAAAGGACGCAGGTAATAGATAAACTAACGGCAACCCACGAGAGACCAAATAGTTAGTCCATCATTTTCTCCCTCAGTCAATAGGGACCACACATTTCAACCAATTGGATCGCTTCATACTAATTATGTCTTCTTTGTCTATCAATTTCAATAATCGGCCCGCTGCTGGCTGATTTATAAAAATTAATGGACAAAGCGATGGACAAAGTAGACGAAGAGAAGATAGAGCGATCCTATTGGTGGAAGTGCGGGTGGTTGCGATGGACACAGGAGGTAAGTAATAGACTCCAACTCACGGAAGACCCTATGGTTAGTCCTATAGTAAGTAATTTCCCCTTGAATCTATAAGAACCTTCCATTTGAAGCATCAGGATCGCTCCTTTTCCCCTTTGTCTATCAATTCCAATAATAAGCCCGCTGCTGAAAATGTTAAACTGAGAGGGCTTCCCTGAGGGAACGATCCATCTATGCAGAGCAGCTGCAAATATATACGATCCTAAAATCCGACCGAAAAAAAAAAACTTGCTCCGTACAAGATCGTGCGTAGCTTTCTGAAGACAGTAATTTCCAGCTTGCAGTTGTTTGGTTCGGTAGACGATTGATGCCTTTTTGAGATGCGGGCCTCCTCATTAGCTCACGTTGAAGATCAATTTTTATTATTGCCCGAGCCACGAACGCCTCACTGTCATTTATCACGGAAACATTTGTACAAGAGCTGGCCGGAATTTGGCATGCCAGGATAAAACTCAAGTTTAGGATGCTTCGAATCATTAACGCTTCATTTCGTCCTCATTAGCACCGATAAATGGCGTATAACGGTAACTAACGTCCGCGTTCAAAATTATTATTGCCTACCGGAAAAGCTGCGGTCTTTCCGATGTTCCACGTTTGGAACCTGGAGCACAATCTTTAATTTACGTTTCGACCCAAACGAGGTATTAGATGAAAAAGTGGGAACAAGGTCAAACACCTTCAAAGACATCTATTAGCTTATCGCTTTGTCTCAAACCATTGTTTTCAGAGGCGATGCGTGAATTATGGACGAGCGATATTTTTCCATTTAAATCTACTCTCGTAGCAATGGCTCTTGAAACAAATTCTACAAAAAGTTGTAAAAAAAAATGTAAAAACCTTGTAAAATTTAAAGTAGGTAAAAAAAGTTCTCAAAATACTCGTTTTAGGAAACCCCATTGGGGAATTCTTTTAAATAAAAAAGTAGTGTTATTATAATTACAAGAAAACGAAAAATTTAAGTATAAATCAATAAACTATATCCTCAATTTTTATGGGCTGCAACTTCTCCTTTTATATTTTTCTATTCACCACATTTTTTCCTCGTTTTTGCCCTCAGGAAGTTTATAAAAAAAAAAAAAAAAAACACGTAAATTTTACTTAAAATGAACGTAAAAAAAAAAATGACTTAAAACTTTTCTTCAATTTTACGTAAAAAGCTTCAAACAGAGTTTCCTCATACGAATATTTTAAGAGTTTTTTTTTACGTAATTTTCAAGTGGTTTTGAAGTGAATTTAAAATTCTCTTAAAATTTACGAGTTTTTTACAACTTTACTCAACAACTACTGCTATAGGGTATGGTAAAAAATCGATTATCAAGGTTTCCGTTCGGCAAACCCTCATGACACTGGCCACACATTTTTTATTATTATTTCCAGGGCCGGATTTACCTACTTTCCGCCCATGGGCCGCCTGTATTTTTCCGCCCCCTTCTCATTCGTTAAGTGAACGAGCTGGTGGGGGAGGGGTGTATGAGACGCGTTTATTCGTGTTGGACACACTTTTTGTGAAAGCCCTGTCAACACTAACAAAAGTTCACGGTTCTTTACGCAAAAGTTAGTTCCGTAAACCCATCCCTGTTTGGACAAGGCCTTCTATTTATAACAAACTAACGAAAAGATAATGAAAGAACGAACATAAATGTGGTTTAATAATTTTAACTTCCGCCGCTGCGCCGCCGACCGCATGGTGTTTGGCGCAATGCGTGAAGTATTCATGCAGTCTTATAGGCGCTATTCATTTCAAGCCGACTGCTGCTGACCGCAGTGTGTTTGACGCAATGCGTGAGGTATTCATGCAGTCTTGTAGGCGCTATGCGTTTCATGCCGATCTCCTTTTCATCTCATTCCTCGTCATCCTTTCTCTCTAAACCGCTCCAATCAATGCCAAATTGCGTGTTTGGTTTCTCTCTTAACTCGACTAATTAAACGTGTTGTCTCTTTTATCACCAAAAGACGACAAAATTAGAAATTACTATACTTTTACTCTCAGGAAATGAGAGATTTTGTCGCCTTTTCTCGTTTGTAATTTATTTTCTGAATCCGATTTTTTCTTCTTTTTTTTGATACCTACATTCAAAGAGATTGCAAAATTTGCCGCCCCCTACATTTTGCCGCCATGGGCCGCGGCCCATGTGGCCACCCCCTTAATCCGGCCCTGGCTTTAGATACCTAAAATTTTGCAAATGAGCCTCCTAATTATATTTTTAGCGCTGCATGATACCAAAAAACCTCTATTAATTAGGATCACTTCGGTTTCCGCCGGAAGAATGGGAATTTTCCCCGAAAAACTATTTTTTTTTTTTTTTTTTTTTTTTTTTTTAATTAGAGAGAATTTAATTTTTCGAAAATTCTCTGCACGACAGAGAAAAATCAAGGTAATTTTTTGATTCAGCAGCCAGCCATTGATCGGTAATTTTGTGCTGAATGCCTGTTAAATCGTCCCATCTGTTCCTATCGAGTTTTTCCCGGTCACGTGCCGTCTTACGTTCACATACCTACTGCCATGTAAAGCTCATCCGATCGTTTTGCGTCAGTTATTGATCAGGTTTCTAATGGGGTTGTTTCTCTCTTTTTTTCACCACTTAAGTTGAAGATGACCTTAGTTTTTTTTCGAGCTCAGCCTACCAAATTTTCGGGAGATTGAATTTTCAAAAAAATGCGTTTATTTAGCTCGGAAAACCCCCTCTTTTGGAAAACTTGATTTCCCGAAGGTGTTGGGGAAAACTATGGCCGTTTCCAGCTTCAGTGGCAAAAATTAGGAGGAAATAATCCCATCTGACACTTCCGAAAATTTTTTTAGCGCAACTTCTCGACGAAAAACAATTGAATGAGCATTGCATGGTCGTCCATGGACGGGAGGAGGCATTTGACCGGTGAAACGTAGATTTTCGGACCAGAGGAGGGAGTTTCATAGGCTTGCAGTACATGATTTCCAGTATACTTTTGGCTACTCAGTTCAAAACTGCTTCATTTCATCAGTCGTGAGCAGATTTTCCGGAAAATTGAGTTTTCTCGGTAGGTACAGCTTGACCTGGGAGGAAAATTTAGATTTTGCCAGGGACAATCGAACTGATCCAGGTAAACGGAGGTCATGTTTCATGCAGGAACTTATCATGCGACTCATTGTCAGCTAAAACTTATTCCGTAACACTCATGTTCCTTGAACTAATTCGCCCAGAAGTTCTGCGAACCGCGTTCATGTGTAAAAAGCCTAATGAGAACTAAAACACCACAAGACAAGGTAAGTATTACGGAATTCAAAAAGTGGAATTAATATCCTTGGTTAAGACTTTGGTCGGATAGGCTACTAAACTAACTTCATGGCAAAGCATTGAGTATCACAGGGAAATGAGAGCGTTGCGAGCGTAGATTGTGCTTTCAAAGTCTTTCACCAATGATACCATCATAGCTATACTAAGGCAAAGGTGAGTTAATTTTACATCATACAGCAATGAGAACATAAAAAAATTCAACAACGCGACTCTTCCAAGTTGAAATCAGAGAATAATTAATCCAAATAAAAGGAAAATATTATTGAACTTTGCTACTGGGCGCTGCTGCCAGCTTCAGAAACAGTTCATTTCAAACGCTTAAAACACTTTTGTGCAATGTTCAAAAAAAAAGAAAAATACAGAGCACTTACCCGAAAAATTGAAAATTGTGATCCCAAATCAGTCTTTTTACAGTACTTCAGTACTGAACAATTTGAGTTTTCACATCAAGGGCCTTCTTGCCAGGCTCAATCACAGATACCATCTTTAAAGTTCAAGGCGCACATTCCTTGAAGTTGGAGCAAATAAAGGGGAACAAAAGATAGTACATAACTTCTGTTAGCACTGAAAAGCTCAACTGAGAGTGAAAAGTTAACATGCTCACTTGGCACCAAGGGAGCAAACTGCATGTGAAAGTCATAGATTAACATTATTATTTGATAGGCTCCAACAATGAAATGTTTAAAACTTTTCGATTTTGTCTTCCATGCAGCTTCAAAAGTTTACGCTCACTGCCGTTGGAAGCTGAAACCACTTCCTACAATCACTATTATCAGATTTCGAACCAATGTATGAAATTCTGGACCAACGCATTGTAAAATACATCTTCCTACAAAGTGCGTACTTCAAATTAATGAATAAATCCATTGCCTAGGAATGAGAGGGACTCAAGTTTCTCAGGCATGAAAATTGAAGACGTCACAGAAAACAGCAAGGACATGCCGATATTCTCCCTATATATACATACTTGCTACAATACTTTGTTGATATGAAAGGAAAAGTGTGACTGTTTGATCAACTAATCAAGATTCGACTGCCCATTCAGTTCAGAATAGTAGACAGTCCAGGAGGCTGACTTCTCTAATCTCCTGACTAACTGATCAAGTCATCTTTCGAATTTTGTTGAAGCTGCTATTTTTGTTAGAAAACAACTTTCCTCACATTAGTGCCTTCACTGCTTTTCAGTACAGAGTATTAATTCCAAAGGCAAGTAAATGTATTAGGTTGATTCCACTACGGTATATTTTCTCAGATGAGTTGTGTGGTTGCAAATTGCATATACAACCCTGAAAAGCTTCGGTTGACGAGAGAAAGAGGAACCTTTCAAAAGCAGAAAAAGCAAGAGCCAAAAGCTGAAAATGGAAAAAGTTTATTGATGATTGATAATGAAAATATTTTACAACTCAAGAACAAGCTGAGTTAAGCTAATCTAAAGAGATAGTAAGTAAAAAAAAATCTGGGAGAAAGTCATTATTTTGTGAACGCGAATTATAATAATTCAAGAGGAAAAGTCTTGGAGGGTAAATGAAGAGTAATCATGGATTCGTGATCGGGATCAAACCTTAACAGCGATAACTAAAAAAGTAACATAATGAGATGTTTGATAAATTTTAAAAAAAAGAAAAAAAAAAAGGGTGAAATAATAATCGTAAAAACCGGATTTTTAAGTCATATAAGACCCAACAAAACAAATACATTCTTTCCTTCCGAGAACATCAAGAGATTAAAATTAAATGAGAGGTCAACATATAAACATGGGACATTTTCCGATAGTAAACTGTGCAAGAGATGAATCTTAATTTATTCCGTTCGTTCCTTCTTAGCTGGGGTTTCAGCTGCAGTTTCAGTATCTTCGTTTTTACGTTTCTGATTTTTATCATTGCCTCCTTCACTGGCGTCATTTTCATCATCATCGTTGTCATCATCATCGTCGTCGTCATCATCACGGTTGCCGCGCCGCCTCTTGCCACCCCTCGGACCGCCGCGCTTGCTTTGGCTCTTTCGCCCTTTCCCACCTGAAGAGCAAAATTTCAATTAAGTATATGTTGCCGCCACATTCACTCAAAAACCAAAGAGCAGATAGATCTCCATAAAAAGATGAAAAAAAAAAATTTATTTTGGTTGCGCAAATGCCGTAAAGTTTAAGTAAAAATTGCGATGTCTTACATGAAGGAAAAACAAAGAAAGCAATCAGGTCTAGCTGAAAATCTGAATTTTTTTTTACTAAAATGTATCCATGGGGGATCCTAGAGCAAAAAAATAAATGGTTTTTTGGGTAGAGAGGTTAGAAAAATTCCCCTCCATCCCAATTTTGTTCAGTAATGTTTCAAAAGTCAGTAGTGATAACTCGCCTCATCTAAAACGCAATTTTTTGGCATCTTGGTCCTTCAGCTCCTTCCTTCAGGTCCTTAAGACTTCACGCAATGTTTACAATTTTTACATTGGATTAGCATTTCTAGTGCAAGCTTTGTTTCTCCCGCAATTAAACTGATGTAATTTTGGCCAAAACTTTGATGGCTCTGAGCTGCCTCATGACTAAATTTTTAGGCTTAAATTTTGTTTGGCATGTTTCCTTATGAAATTAAACCGATTAGCAGCCGCCAGAATTCAGAATTTAAATTTAGACCATATGAATCACACACTAACGAACAAACCTAGTGTCTTTCCTGAGGAAAATGGCCGCGGAAGGCAAACTTTTGAGCATCTAAGTACGAATTTCCACATGAGGCAATGATGGCTTTGCTACGCTATTCATTCCACTATATGCTGCTGCACCCATATTAGATAACCCTACTGTGTGATAAAAGTCTTTCAGGACTTTTAGAAGGGCGCTGTTACACTTCCATTATTAAACGGAGCTTAAAGGTTCGATTATAAAAATGGGTTTTCCCATAAATGGGAAAAGGAGTTAACCAAACTTCAACGAGTCAAGAAAAACTTGAAATTTACAGTTGTAAGACGTTAATTGAGAAGCAAAACTGTTGGAGTGCTACCTTCTTCTTTGTGAATAGTGTCTTAAAACATGGATTAAATAATTTATACCTAAGCTAAATACTGTTGATCGTATATTTTAAACAGATCTATAAAAGTTCAGTGCAAGAAACTTACTAGTGTGTTTAAGAATCGGATATGGAAGGCACTTGCTACATGGTGGGTATATTTAGGTACACTAGGTCCCTGCACACATTCGTCAGTGAGTAATTTATTTTATTTCGTTTTGGTTGTTTACTTCATTTTCATTAATTAGAGAAAAAATTCACCGCGTCAGCAAACGAATAAAGTACGTAATATTGACATGGATTGAAAATTGCAAATCATCAAAATAACTTCTTAACCGGAGTTCATATTCATTTATGAGCATATTTATTTAAATGTTTGAGGGGCATAACGAATATTAAAATACATTTTTCACCGATTAAAAATTATTTATGAGCACATCTCTCAGTCCCAGCCAAGGAAAGATTCACATCAATTTGAATCAGGCTTGAAAGTTATCCATCACAGAGAAACTCAAGAGTTATCCATCACAGAGAAACTCAAGAACATAAACCTTTTTGGAGTCAAGGATTTTGCGGTTAAAAAAAACCTGAACTAACTTTTAGTGAATTTATTCAAAGAAAATTTGAATTAATTTGAACTAGGCTTACTAAGTGATTCGTTAATCTCTCACTAAAAATACTCAAGAGGAGGGATTCTTTATTAGGAAAAGCGGGGTATATTTTCATTACTTTCATTCAATAATTATTAAATTTTTTCGCTTTATTCTTCATTAGGATTGCATTTTGAAGGAGTTCAACAAAGAGTTTCTCTAAAGTGGTGAAAAGGTCACTAAAAGTCTTGTTTTTGCTTTGTGATATTTATAAATAAACTTAAGAGCATCTCTCAGTCCCAGCCAAGGAAATGATAACATCATATAAAATCAGCCTTGGAAGTTCTGCATCATTGAGAATGATTTCGAGTTAAGCATTGTCTTGTAGAATTCAGCAGGAAGCTGAGTGAATTTGAAAAGGTTAAAGACCGAGCAGACAAAAGAAGTTTGCGGACACATCAATAGTAAAATTAGAGAAAATTATTTTGGTTTATTTTTGAGGATATTTTCTATGTTTTAATTAGATGTAGGTAATTTATCTCTTGTTACTATTTGAAACTTTCCCTCGATCCTTCTACAATACTTAATTCAAAGAAGAAAAATAAACTTCAAACAATTGAACTGCATGCACAAATGTTAAGATCTTTTATTTCATGGGGAAGGGAAAAAATAAAGACACTATGAGTTTGATGTACTTGACAATGCATTTCTCCAGGATGAATTTACTGATTTCTCAACTAAAAATTAATCAGTCTCTACTTTCCGATTATCTCTTAAACAAAACAAAGAATTGCTTCCCTTGGTGCTTTTCAAAAGAATCAGCGAGCATCTCAATGTAAAATTAGGATGGCCTTACCTTTGTTACGTTTCTTATTTGCCATCATGGCACGTCTCTTGGAAAGATCTGCAAGACTCTTCGCAATTAACTGCTCCTCTTCTTCTCCTTCGATTACGGATGCTTCTAACTTAACGCCTTTTACTTCGACAACATTTCCTTCGAATGCTTCCAGAACCTGAAGACGATGAAAAAAAAATCAGAAATAAATCGTGATGTCAACCAAAAGAATGATCATTTGAAGGCTGAGGAAAAATACCTCCTTGCTGACAATTTGTCGTTCCCCTCGTGAAAGAATGTAACCAAATTGCCCCTTGAAAAGTGCATACTTACCGAGAGAATCAAGAGCATTACTGACTGAAAATTACATTAATTTTTCCTCTAATCTCATGCAAAAATCTGACAAAATTTTGAAAAAAATCAAGCAAGTCTATTCTTGTTAAAATTGAATTGTTCGAGTCAATTTGCAACTTTTGAATGCAGATACATTCCTTCGTCCGGGAGACAACGAATTTTGGCAAAAATGAGTTAGCGACTTTGCTATATTCTACAGCATGAAATACGCCAGAGAATGTTTTTGGTTTTATCAATACCACATGAAAGCGCTGTAATGTATGAAAAAATTGCAAATCCAGCCTTAAAATTACTAAAATGATGGGGTGCTTTCTTAGGGCTGCAATGACGTCAACTTGGAAATATGCAGTATTGTTCCCCAGCCATCGAATTGCAATTGAGGGAGAGTCTCTCATTACTTACTTATCTTTAATTCCTTACTTTGAGGTAAGGATTAGCGCCTAAATTCAAAGATTCTCAACTCCCAAGATCTCAAGCTCAAATACCGCTTCACTGTATGATGCCAAAAATATGGCTCCACAATACATGTTTCCTATTCAAAAATTAGCTAGAATGTGTAAGACTCAAAAAAACACCTGAGCGTGATTCTTAAGCAAGGAGTGAAAATGTTCTACATTTGTTTTGACAGATGTTCAACACATCAAAAGGCCCTAGTTTGAACACATACTAATTTCAATGGCTCCTTGTACTGTTTTTTTTTCAGCGTACTTGACATGCTCAGTGTATTAGGTTAGGAAACATGTTTTCTTTTCATAAAACCTAACTTCAACCGTGCCGTGCTAAGGAAAAACGCTGTATGAACCTTCAGGCGTTGCTAAATTTTAAATGGCAAATTGCTAATTTATATAAAAACTTCTGAATATTTTTAGGTCAATTTTTCAGATAATTTTGTTTGTAATTTGATCTAAATTTTCTGAAAACGTCAACGAAAAATATTCATTACTTTCCTCAAAAATAAACACTTTATCGGAGAAAATTTGGAAACTCTCGCATGTTCATCCGGCGTTCTTCCTTAGCACGGCAGAATTATACACCGAAATTGGACTGCATTCTGCAATTAAGAACTACAACTCCTGGCTTAATTATCAAAGCACCTATATGGATAGGGAAACTAATGGAACGCAAATTTCTCTGACGAAGGTCTAGAAATAGTGCCTTCTGATAGCAAGATGGAATCAAATTTTGGTTTTACGACAAGTTGTTTGAATTGACCGAGAACACATATAGTAAATGTTTTCCATTCGTGAAATGAAAATGTATCACAGGAGAAAATGGCAAGCAAACAGCTTAGCCTTGTTTTTTACTACAAAAAAATTCTCATTGGGTTATATTTTAGAAAGTTCTGTTAAAACAGAAAAATAGCAATACAAAAAAATGATGCTGACACAATGAAAAATGATATAAAATAATGTAGAAATGACATTGATGGATCCAGTGAAGAAACTGAGAGGGGAGGTTTTGTCCCCAGGATATCCTACAAACAGTGATGGTCTAAGCTTGCTAGACGGCGCACATTTTTCAGGATTTACTGATCATTAATTAAATACTTGGTAACATACCTTCTTGGCTGTTCCTTCTCCCTGTAGCCTGACAACAGCAGTTTCATCTCCTACGCTGTAGTCAATAAATCCTACTTTGGCTCCTTTCTGCTCTAGAACTTCTTTCATGTCTTCACGTTTGATATCATTGGAGCAACTGTTCAATCTAAGGAAAGCACCTTTCGGTAAAACAGGAGCTGGTGGTTCATCTTCTTTCTCTTTCTGCAAGTAAAAAAGGAAAATAACAACAAAAGGTCAGAAGTGAGTGATCCAATCCAGGAGTAAAATTTTAGGAGCCATCCAAAAGTTTTCTAGGCTAAAATGGCATGTTGCAGACGTATTATCTGTCATAGCCTACACTGGGAGTGGAGCACTGATGCTGCTTCAAAAATTTGCGGCAATTTCTAGGCGCCATGTATGGCCAGAACTCGACTCTTCGATGTGCTCAGAGCTCATTTTTTGATGCATCTTGCACAAGACCAGAGAAGTTGAAGCACCATCATACATAGATGTTACTCTCTTGAGGCTTGTTAATCTTTTGCAGTTTCAAAAACAATATGATTCCTTTAAAAAGAAGTGCAGAGAAATTGGTTCATCTAAATCTCAGGTTGCCCTCCAAAACTTATTGTTATAATAGATTGAAATCTTTCACTTTGCAAAGTCTTGATAATTAGCGAGCGACTAAAAAACCTTGAAATACAGCTACAGTTGCTACAGTCGTATCTCGTAACATTCCTTAAAATAACATATTTCCAGAAACAACATTGTACTTTCAATCACCCTTCAAAAATGTTATTACAAAATAAAACTATCAACATTACAAAAAATTTCTTATTACCTGGATATTGTTTTTCCGTCTGGTTTTTCTTGATTTCTGAGTAAGGCAATGTACATTTCGGAATTTTCTTCCTTCTTCAGGCCAAAATTTTGATACTTGTCTAGCACTCTTTCTTTAAAATTTTGGCCTAAAAAAGGAAGAAAATTCCGAAATGTACATAACTTAACTCAGAAATCAAGAAAAACCAGACGAAAAAATAATATCCAGGTAATAATAATCCATCCGGTAAAATGATAAAACCATACAACACAAACAATTTTATTACTAGAGTTAGAAGCCGCTGTAAAATGTGACAAAGTAATATTTTAACTTGCATGTGGAGAATTCACATGCAGCCATTATTGGTAGAGAACATGAGCATGCTGTTGACTTCATAAGCAGAGGCCGTTACTTACCAATTTCTTTAGAATGTCTTGTTCTGTTGATTTTTTGGATCTTTGGTCTCTTTCTTTTTTCTTCTCATCTATGTGTTCTTGTCTAGAAAGAGAAGAATGAAGTTGATAAGAAATTTTAGACATAGGAAACAACATCAGAGAGAGTAATACAAAGTTCAAACGGTTTAGATAAACAACAAGCAAGTTTTTAAGAGCCCAAAATATGTGCTTCAATTAGAGAAAGAGATGCTCTCAGACTAAAAATGACTTTTAAAAATTGGTTTCATGCCCGACTGCAAGGTAAATCTTACTAGATTGGTAAAGATAATATACTTACTAAATTGCTAACAGAATGGGAGAATTGGATTTGAACAGCGAATCAAATAAGAAAAGGTGATAATATGTAATGCTGTAGTTGAAAATGATCAGACCTAAGCATTTTAGCTTTAATAGCTTATTAAAAATAATGGCTTGTAAAATACTAGCACTTGACAGCAACAAAGAATTTACATGCACAATTTAGAAGTTTTTATTTAAAATTTTTAAATTTTACTTCCCTCAAGAAACTAAAGACAAGAATATGCATCATTTATTTGATTTTTGCAAATACTGCATTTCCATTGCACTAATATAAATGCTATGATGAAACTAAAGGTCACTTGCTTTTTCTTCCTTTTCTTTTCTTTTATTTCTGTTTTTTTCTTTTTTTAAAAGGGGCAATCAGAAAATCACAGTTAATGAATTTCAGGAAAAAATTAAAAATCTTCACTCAATTTTTTCAACTGTATGAAAAAGGTGATTGAACTATACATTTTCAAACATTATCGAGTTTTCAAAATGTCTGACACTTTTCCAATTTTAGGGCTTGGCAACTAATCTCATTAGAAAACAGGAAATCAACTCCATTAAAAACGTGAAAGGGTTTGAATACTTACTGCCATTTCCTTTCCAAGACTTCATCCTTATATTTGACGTTTTCAATCTTTAAAAATTCTGCTGCTTTTTCTACAGTTGGAAAAATAGCATACACAGACCCTTTGAATTTCCATTGTTTTTCTGCTTTGTCCAAATAATTTCGCATCTAAAAATTTTAACAAAAATAAAATATTTACATTAATACAAGTGCGAACTTTGTCTACTTACTATGGATTGGATAAAAAATAATTAAAACAATAAGACTGGTTCTTAAACATTACCGAAAGTATGAGCAAAAATAGTGTTTTTCAGGGTTAAAGTGTATCAATGGCAGCACGCCCCCCCCCCCCCAAAAAAAATAAAATAAAATAAAAATAAAATAAAATAAAGCCTCCATCAATTGCATTTGAAAATGTTTTATTTTTTCTTCAAGGGAAACTAAATCAAACATTTTCCTTGCAGTGTTGTTTCAGTTGTTAATTGTTTCTTGATAGAATAAGTGAAGCAAATTTGCAGAATATAGGTTATTTTCTGAAGCAATAAAACACGAGTAGAGACTTGCAACATTGCGATCTAACTTTCTCATAGTCGAACTAGAGAAGCCATCGCTATCTTACATACAAGAAAAGCATTTATACCGGGTGTCCATAAAGTAACTGAAAAGTGGGTATAATTTTTGAACAAAAAAAGATAGAAGGTCGCGGTTTGTGGCATTCTTCATCATCCAGAGGGGGAAATTTTTCGATGGGGGGTTTTTCTTGGTGGACCCCCCTGGGGGGATCCAAGGGGGGGCAACTTTCAAAATTCAAATAGCAACCCCCATTTTTTTAGACATGGTTAAAAAGAACTTAAAAAGACAAGAAGAATGACGCAAATAAAATTAAAATCGGTTCACTCGTTCAAAAGTTACAGCCGGTCAAAATTTTAAATTGACCACTTTTCAAAAAATCACCGTTGAGCTCCCAATTACCGAAAAAACAAAAACAGACCTGGAATGAAAAGTTTGAAAAGTGCCCTTTAAGGCAAGGAAAACCAACTGACGTTGTCACAAGTTTGGATGGCATTGTTTCAAAATAAAATTTCGGAAAATTCAACATGGCGGCAAATTTGAGGAAACGCGAATAATGAAAATTCCAGAAACCGTTATCTTCCAAATACCCTCTAGTTTAAGGAAATCAATGGTATCAACTTTTTTTCCTTTATTTGGCCAAGTAAGAGCAATAATTTGCAGACTTGAAAGTTGGCAAGCGGGACCCCTTCAATCGTTGGAGTATGCGACATCACATGCACAGGATTAAGTGTGCTGTCAAAAAATGAAGCCGATGTGAAAAAGCGCTCCTCTTTTGGGATGCTTTAGTAATGTTCAAGGTCCTCATCCTCAAAAAAGAAGAAAAGAAAAATTGAGCAATTGTTTTATTATTATTATTTTTTAAAGTGGAAGTTCTTATACCTGATGCTCTGTTATTCCGTCAAATGTTCAAAGTGATCTTCATTTTGCTGCAAACAATAGTAAATTTACAATAGTAATTGCCAACTAAATCAGAACGCAGTATGATCAAGAGAACTTAGCATACTGATTTCAGATTCGTAAATAGTGTTACCGATCAGATATTGCATCAGATATTACCTAAAATATCGGTTCCTCAAATCGTGGGGTTGAGGCTGTCAATAAGATAATCTCAACTCAGATAATAATCAAGAGTAGAACGGCGTTTTCGGAATTGAAAGCGTAGCAGATATCCTTCTTGCCAACTTGGAGTGCCAGGAATTAGAGAATCACAATTATTCTTGCGTTTTCAATTTTCAGATTGAGAAATGTCAAAAATGTCAACCGCTCCTACCCCATCAGGATATACCATGTTTTTTTTTGGCTCACCAAGTTTGTGGGTAAAAATTGCTTAATTTCTCTTTTCTTCTTTTTTGAGGATGAGGACCTTGAACATTTCTAAAACATCCCAAAGGAGGAGCGCTTTTTCACATTGGCTTCATTTTTTGACAGCACACTTTATCCTGTGCATGTGATGTCGCATACTCCAACGATTGAAGGGGTCCCGCTTGCCAACTTTCAAGTCTGCAAATTATTGCTCTTACTTGGCCAAATAAAGGAAAAAAAGTTGATACCATTGATTTCCTTAAACTAGAGGGTATTTGGAAGATAACGGTTTCTGGAATTTTCATTATTCGCGTTTCCTCAAATTTGCCGCCATGTTGAATTTTCCGAAATTTTATTTTGAAACAATGCCATCCAAACTTGTGACAACGTCAGTTGGTTTTCCTTGCCTTAAAGGGCACTTTTCAAACTTTTCATTCCAGGTCTGTTTTTGTTTTTTCGGTAATTGGGAGCTCAACGGTGATTTTTTGAAAAGTGGTCAATTTAAAATTTTGACCGGCTGTAACTTTTGAACGAGTGAACCGATTTTAATTTTATTTGCGTCATTCTTCTTGTCTTTTTAAGTTCTTTTTAACCATGTCTAAAAAAATGGGGGTTGCTATTTGAATTTTGAAAGTTGCCCCCCCTTGGATCCCCCCAGGGGGGTCCACCAAGAAAAACCCCCCATCGAAAAATTTCCCCCTCTGGATGATGAAGAATGCCACAAACCGCGACCTTCTATCTTTTTTTGTTCAAAAATTATACCCACTTTTCAGTTACTTTACGGACACCCGGTATAAATGGACAACTACTAGGTATAAAAACAGATAACTTCATTCTCTCTTCCTGAGAAATAAGGTTCCTAGGTATAATAGAATGTCGGTAAGTCCAAAATTCACCTGTGTTGAATTTTTCCTACCATTCTACAATTTACAAATAAATACAGTGTGATCAGCTTTAGGATAAATCAGAACCCTGTCAAAGTTGCTTATTTAGAATGTTCATCGGTCCTGTCATCAAGTTTTTGGTGCTGAAAGGAATGAAATTCAACGTTGCTAAATTGCAAAAATCTGGCTTTTGGTAAAAAAAAAAAAATAAAATAAAACGAGAGAAAAGAAAAAGAAAATAATGGTAACTTACAATGAGATTGTCTAAAGGTCCATACTGTTCAAAGTAATCTAGAAGAATATCTACGTTCATATCAGTTTTGGGGAATCCTTTGCAATAGATGCTTCTTGATACTAATTCTTTCCTGCGATCTTCACACAACTCTGGCAATGGTACATTAGGAGATCTTCTGATTTTAGAGCCATCTTCATTCACCTGAACAAACAGAACAAATTCTTGGAAAATTAGAAATAAATTACAACTTAACCAAACGATTATTCACCTGCAAACAAATGGTGCTTCAACAGCTAATTTTAACATGGAGAACATAAAGTTGCAATGTAAGTGGGAGAGCTGGCGGCACTTTTAAACGATTTCCAGATCCTGAATTCTGAGACTCCTGTGCGGCATCAGGACACTTTTTCAATAAAAAATAGATTGTTTGCGATACACGGGGACCCAGCAATTGAATTTTCACAGATTCCACACCGCCATTTTGGATCGAATATGTATCGAAAAAGTGACCCGCACACTCGGCTCCAAACTTGTTGAGCAGAACATGGCGCCAGCTCTCGTATTTACATTACGACTCTAGGTACTCCATGAATTTTAACCACACATTCGAGAACTTGCTGTTGCCTTAGCCATCGATTTTCCAAAAAACAAGGAACCAAGCAGCAATAAATAAAATCAAAAGGAGCTATGTTGCATGCAATTCCTATGCACATAGGTACTTTTGGTTCAATTTTGCACATGGATACTTTTGTTTCAAATTTTTTCACACAGTTGTTCTAAGCATAGATGTGTCAATTTTTTTTTTTTTTTTTTATTCAATTTTTCCAGACAGTTGTTTCAAGCGTAGATGTGTCCATATACTTAAGGATAAGCAGGTCGTATGTCTACTACAAAGTTAAAGATATTTATGAAAAAATAACTCAAATTGTTGAAAGTAACAAATGTTGATATGTGTGACTTACTTCAACTAACTGTCGGGTAGATTTTTTGATAGCTTCAACTATCACTTTTGGATCTTCACTTAGTTTAGCCAGCCGCTTGAATAACAGCATTGTTTCCATTGAAATCCATCCATCATCTTTCTTGCTTTCTTCTTGCAAAAATTTGTCTCTCGGGTAATTGATGTCGCCAAAGTAATACTAAAAGTCAACAAAACATGATAGTAAGGTACTCAACCTCTGCAAGTAACTGAATTTCACAGTAAAAGATGCAAACTATAAACTTATCCTCTAATGATGGAATAGCAAATCATGAAAATACTTAATTCAAAAAACCTAGGACTAAGCTTTGATGCCACTAGGACTTTAATAATACAATAGGAAGTGAAAGGCATTAGCAGATTTCATCGCAGTCACTTTGACCTTTCTACAGTTTTGATACTGAGACATGACAGATCTTTCTCTCAGCTTTACTTCAACACTCAATTTCAACAAAACCTCAACGCAATGCTTGACATATGAGAGCAGAGGCATGAGTCTTCCTGCTATGAATTAATATTTTCATATTGTAAAAGCATGAGTCTCCGGCATCATTACGCAAATACTCATTTCATCCTTGCACCAAAAATTTGAGATTCTCGGATTAAAAACCATTTACTATTCTACTGGTGCTGAATGTCTCTCTTTCAACTTTCTGGGACTTCAAGCTTCAGGCTCTGTGCAGAAAATAGTGGAAGAAGGGGAAGGGGTCTTGAATAATGGGTATCATACAAGGGGGTACTTAATAATAGAAAGTGGGAGAACCTTTGCCTACTAATTTATAAATTTTAGGACTGTTCATCACTGGTGGTGCTTCTGGTATTATGAGTGAAAAAATACTTGGTAAACAAAATACGAAAGTAACTAAGTAAGTGCTTACTTCAATTTGGCGGATGATTTTTTCATCAAGATTTTTCGGAGGACTTTCTTGATGATTTCCATTTGTGAGGGTGTTCTCTTTTTCTTCTGTTTTTGGTTCAGACTTTGCTTTGATATCTTCTGCAGCAGGAACTACTGGCTGTTCAACGTCAGCCATTGTAAATCTGTGGAAAAATCAAGAGAGAATCATTGAAAACTTTTTAGTTGTGGTCCTAGTAATTGCTTGAAAGCGCAGTAGGTACGTATGTTTGACTTTACTTCTCCATCCAAAACATAGTACAGGCAAAAACAGCTTCCAAGGATCCTTAAAGCCTAACTCTATTCCCTGCAGATGACAAATGCAATGGGTCTACGCAGATCACATTCCAGCACTAATGTACAGTACTAGTTGGAATCCATGTTCCCGATCGTTAGTTCCGATCAGCACTTTGAACCTACTGTTCCACAAATAGAAATAAGTAGTACCTAGGTATACTTGAGTGTAAAAAACTAATGGGATATGCGAACTAGAAGTGAAATATTAAATTGCGAAAGGCAATTGCAAGAGGTGAGCATCTCAACACACCATACCTAGCCATGCTCACAGAGTTGTGACAGCATACAGCTCCGACTAATAACACTGGTATTTTGAGAGCGTAACATAGAGGTTGGATAGGAAGGTTGACGTATTGAGGAGAAGAAACAGAAAATTTTGACTTGCGATGATTAGACCCAAGCATACCTATCGCAGCAGGGCATCAACTTGATCAATTGAGGGGAAGAAGATAATGCACACTCAGCAGAGAGGATTAACTGGGACCAACTGCTGAAGAATATTGTGGATTCGAGTACACAACTGATAAATAATGATTAGCTGATGAAATGTTGGTCTTCAAACAACGTGTTCGTGCTTCTCACGGCACAGGGCCTCCTGCCTCGTTCCTCAAGTCGGCAATATTTGACTTTGATTGAGAGGAAAAAAACGATGAAGGGTGATTAAAATGAAATTAGAATAGGATAAAGATAGGAGAATTAGGATTAAAATTGTTAAATACCTTCGATATTAAATTAACACGTGAGAAATGTGCAAGATTCGCCGCAATAAACGTCAAGCTCCGACACGAGGAGCACAGAAAGGATGCAGTAGTACGAATCCAAAATATTCTTGCAAATTTCAGGAATTACTGAAAAGATAACCAGGCTTAATTTTGGTTGATTGCGTGTTAATTCCCTTGAAACTGAAATAAATTTTTAAAACCTATTATTCAAATGATAAACAATGGTTTATAGTGACGATTTTGCTCGAGAAAAGTGGCGAAAAATAATAGGATTTTGTTCACTTATTTTGTTGCTGTTGGCATAATTGGAGTTGTTAGTTACTCACTCTAGCGGCAGTTTGATAAACTAACTGTTCCTTGAAAGAAATGGCGCGTTCCGAGATGAATACGAATGAAAGCGGGAAAATTCAAATTTACGCTCGGGTCCCGGCAAGTCCGCAACTCTCGGGTAGAGAACTGGGAGAAAATGAATTATTGATTTTTTTCGTTTCTATGAGTGTGTCGTTTGTGTGCATTTTTTTTCTGTTCATGCTTGTTGTTGACTATCGATTTCTTGCATTCTTGGACAGATGAAAGGGGGGGGGGGCAATGGTGGCCGACTTGCAAACATACTTTTTTCTTTGTTCTTTGTATTTTAAGTTTGAGCAATCTTTCCACGATTGTGATTTGATTAGCTGACATAACTCAATTGAACAGTTGAAAATCAGCTGTTGGTGTTTTTTTTTTTTTTTTTTTTTTTTTTTTTTTTTTTTTTTTTTTTTTTAAAAAAAATATTAATTTTGAATCACTTTTTTATTCAAATGAAATATGTAGTCTCGGTAATGAAACGGGAATATTTGGACCACTCAGCTATGGTCCTAAATCATTAAATGCCAGTAGTAAGCAAACGCATCATCTCTTAATAAAATGCTTTTACAGAAAATAATTTTTTTTTTTTTTTTTGGAAGAAAATTATTTAATTCGGATAACCCCTCTTTTCCCTGTTATGGTGTAGAAGTCTAGGGGCGATCACCTCCTGGCCCTCGGGTCATAGTTCCTTCCTGCAGAAACATTATTTAGGGATTTAATCAATAATATTAGCGACTATTAAATTTAGGAGTAGGGGGAGGGGGGTATAACTTGTAATCCTTGCATATCGATGGTGAAAGTGCAGAAGTGCGCATCTCGCGAAACACGATTTTGCAGGAGAGTAAAAAAACTGTCTGCATTCCTCCTTTGACATTTTAGTAGTCGTGAATGCATAGCTAAAATGCGCTCCAGCCAGAAGTGTATTCAGCAAATGAGTAGTTTTTATAGGAGGATTGAAAACAAACAAATGGTAGGAAATAAAACATAATAATAAGAACTTTGCAAAACGATAATCCGGGTATCGGAACTTGGCTGTTTTGAAAACGCCTTCAAATGCGGCGTGATACCTCACGCATTCCGGAGAGTTCAAATAGTTGTATCATTGCGCCGTAAGAATGTGACGGAAGATTACAATTGAGGACACCGCACGAAGAACAGCCTATAGGCGTATGGGTCGTTATTACGCCCATCTGCTTTTCGGATTCTACGTACCCTGGACTATGCTGTGGTAGCGATAGAATATAGATAGGTAACCGCTCGAGGTCGAAAAACCTTGTTTTTCCGAGTTAAGTCAGGCCTCTGGATCGATGGGTGCAAGAACGACCTATAAACGGGCCTATAAGGTGCTTGTTACCCCTTCCTTTACTCACTATCGATATTCCTTCATTTAGCGTTAATCATGCGTGATTAGAATGATTTATACTTCATATTGCCACCAAAATGACTGTTGGGCGTAATAATGGCCTATATACCGCTTTTTTAAATTAAATATATGAGAGTATAAACCCAAAATGTATCGCAAAATCTACCCAGCTTCCTTAAATAGAAGGGTTAGGTCACCCAAAAACACCAAAACAGGGTACCTGCGTAGAAAAGTCTGCGCAGTACATCAAAAACAAAACTTTAAATGCGTTTTTCTTAAAAGCGTTTCCAGTTATTAGTCCAGGCACCTGGTAAGTCTACCTGGAATTTTGGGTACACAGCGATTTTTTGACTCACTTTACGTTTTTTGGGTCGCTGAATCCGAATCTGAAGTTTCCTACAACGTATCTGGTGAGCATTTGAACTATGCAAAACGATAATCCGGGTATCGGAACTTGGCTGTTTTGAAAACGCCTTCAAATGCGGTGGGATACCTCACGCATTCCGGAGAGTTCAAATAGTTGTATCATTGCGCCTTAGAAATGCGACGGCAGATTACACCTGTGAACAATCGCCGTGTTTACATTTGTATTTCCCTCACGTTCATAAAGATCCGCCTTTATTGACCTTTGAGCTCCCTTCGATTTGCTCCCGGAGGTTACGGCCATGTTGAATATTGCAAAACATCCTAGAGCGCAAAGGTTGAATGGAAAAGCTCTTCTATAATGAAATTTTCACTTGTACCGTAGTATCGATTTTGAAGCGGGAAACTCAAAAACGCACATTTCTTACGCAGATTATGAATTTAGGAGTAAATTTCAGCCTTTGCTGATACACTTATCGTGACTTTTAAGCCAATGTCTAAAAGGCAACTTTTAGTATTGCTCTTGCAAAAGTTTGCAACAGATCCATTACCGACGTTTCGAAATGAGGGTTTGATGCTCACATTCTTGAATGCGAAAATGAAGTGTGCAACAGTACGAACTCCGGAGTAGGTATGAGATGTGGTAGCGAAGGAAATGAAGAAAAACCGTAGCTGAATCCTATCTTACTTACATTACAGACGTTTATCATTCTAGGCTTAGTGCTCGCATCCTTTAGTTGGAAACCAAGCTCGATATTATTACTCGACCTCCGAAGTAGGTATGTGATGTGGTATCACGCAGAAACGAAGGAAAATTTTCTCTTCATCTATTTTCAATCACTGCCGACGACGCTCGCATCATCGTTCAAGTAGGAAATTAAGCGCGCAACTATGTAAAGTGGTATCACGCGGAATTGAAGGGAAATCTTAGCTTTCCACCTATCTCAAAGTACTGACGTTTTGGAATGTATGCTTAATGGTCGCATCCTCAGGTTTTGAAATTAGGCACGATGTTTTCCGACCTACGAGGTAGGTATATGTTGTAATATTACGCAGAAACGAAGGAAAACTTACGTTTTCACCTATTTCAAATGACTGACGTTTGGAAATGTTGGCTTAGTCGTTAAATTCGGAAATCAAGCTCGCAAAGAAAAAAAATCCTAGCCTTTCACATGTCTCAAATTACAGACGTTTAATGAATGTAGGCGTTATGCTTACTTCGTTGAATGCGAAAATCTTGTGCGCAACTTTTCGGACTCCGAACTTCATTTTAAGGTTGTAAAAGTAACTCAAACAATTCGGTTTTTCCGAGATGCACCTGCATAATTTGTGTCTAAAACGTGTATGATTTGTGCATGAGATCAGATGGAAAATTAACTAAATTTTTAGTCCAAAATTTTCAAAATTTTCCCGGTAAAAATACAAGTTGCGCGGACAAATCTAGCGACATTGAAATGTAGATACGTTCTCTCTTGACCGAAACGAAGAATTGAGTTTGTACCTACGACAGATTTCCTCCTCGCGGACGACAGGCCTCATCGGAAAACTAGTCCCTCTTGAGAGCACATAAGTAGGTAATATTTTCTGCAAAATGAAGCCATGAGACGGACTATCCACAGAACCGAACATAAAATACCACTCGGAGTGTTGCTCAATAGCCTTCCAACACTCCTCTTGCGTTGAAATCCAATCGAATGATCATAAAATAACTACAGAGGGACGAATAGAAACATCCCGGAAACCTGTTTCCAATGATCCGAGCATCTTCATCGCTTGTCCAATCAAACACTCTCCCCCCCCCTTTCGCTCGATCGACGAATTAACACATGACCAAAATAAAGATCGCCTCGATACTAAATGCCGCTCCAGCGGGCTGATTGTTGAAATTGATAGACAAATCTATGGACGAAAAAGATAAAAGGGATATGGAGGGATCCTATTGCGGTGGAAGCGGGTGGTTGCAATGGATAATAGGAGTAGGTATAAACTAACTAACGGCAACCCACGAGAGACCATACATATAGTTAGTCCATCATTTTCCTCCTAGTCTAGGAACCACCCATTTCAAATAGAAAGAATCGCTCCATAGTATCTATGTCTCCTTTGTCTATCGCTTTGTCCATCAATTTCAACTATCAGCCTGCTGTCAGGAATCTCAAGAATCCTGCTCTCCCAGTGGACCACCAGACAATGTCCGAATTCCAGAATTGTGATCCCGATGAAAGTCGGCAACTGATCCCTTTGGCAGCTTTCCAGGAACACAGCCCAATAATTAATCTCTATATGAAAATGGTCAAAAAGTGCGTTACGTAATATAAGAACGCTCTCAAAGATAGATAATCCGGTGAAATGTGGCAGTAGCTGATGTCGCTTCGTCCCTCCTTCAGCAGAATCGTGGATCGTTGGACGTAGCTGATGGAGCTGGGATTTCTCATGCAATTTGGCAGGGCGCAGTGGCGTAGTCTAAGCTGCGGGAGACCGCGCCGTGACACCCGGTAAGTACAACAAGCCCCCAGACAAAGTGACCGTGACATTCAAAACTTGGTACTGTTAGGTGGTATTCACGAATAACTTGCTCGCGGTCCAGTTAGATATTTGCATATCTTCACTATTGTCAACCTATTCTCCGAGAGCTCTGCTGTACGGGCTACGAATGGGTCGTATTCGATACACCAAACAGCCGGCCGATTGTTGAACCTGATAGACAAAGCGATAGACAAAGAAGACATAGGGAGTATAGAGCGATCTTATTGGTTGGCATGGTTGGTTCTTATAGACTAAGGAAGAAAATGATGGACTAACTGTCGGGTCTTCGGTGGGTTGCCGTTAGTTAGTACATTGCCTATCGCCTATGTCCATTGCCATCACCCGCTTCCACCAATAGGATCCCTCCGTATCTCTTTTGTCTTCTTTGTCTATAGCTTTGTCTATCAGTTTCAATAATCGGCCCGAAGGTGAGATTGTATCGATATCGATTGGTTCAACATGTAAACGTAGCCTCAAAAGTCAATTGAGTAATCTAAGGAACGAGTTTTTTGTTAAAGATTTTTTATTCTTATGAGTACAAAATGACAATGAAAAGTGAAATTGTTGGGAATTTTCTCATTTTCAGCTTTCCCAACTTAGATCCTAGAATTTTTGTTTGAGGTCATGCTCTATTGTTTTGAAACAAACGATAAATCGAAACACTATCGATAAAAATGATACG